TTGAGGCACACGACCGAGTTCGGGGTAATAAACATGATGACAGGGGGCGAGTGGGGTTCAGGTACGAGCACTATACTCCGTTGACATCATCAAGAGAGCAGGTGTTTGGGATGATGGAGAGGCGTGGAGAAACTAAGATGTTTGGCAAACCTCAACCCTTACTTAAGAAATCAGGAAAGGTGCCTGTGGAAGGTGATCCTTATTGTAGCTATCATCGTGATTATGGGCACTGGACGAACAACTGCAAGGAGCTTAAGGATGAGGTTGAGAGACTGATAAGGGCCGGATATTTGAAGGACTTCATATCGCAAGACATGGAGGAAAGAGATGATGCTGAGGGTGGAGAAAAGAAAAGACAGAGACGAGAGCACAGTTATGGAGGAGGGCTCGATCATGGGCAAAGAGGTCAGAACGGAGATGATCTCACTAGATGAGGTGATAGGGTGGATGTGTTGAACCATTTGGAAGAGAAGTCTTCCAGAGAACGTTGGCTGAAGGAGTTTATGAGCTAAGGGATCCACAGGGTAAGGTCTTTCTCAAGCCTTGAGATGTTGCTACTCTCAAGAAGTATTATTGTCAGTTTGATTGTAACTCTGAATTATTTTTGAAACATTTATGCTTTGGTTATTGAATTTGGTTGTTGCATTAAGGATATAACTTGAAGTTGTTTTGAAACATTTATGTCTTGGTCTGATGAATGACCTAAGTGTGAATTCGGGTGCTGTTCAAAGTGTGTGACGGCTTAAGGCCGAGCTATTGGGAGTTCGGGTGTTGTTCAAGGTGTGTGACGGCTTAAGGCCGAGCTCTTGTGAGTTCGGGTGCTGTTCAAAGGGTGTGACGGCTTAAGGCTGAACTCTTGTGAGTTCGGGTGCTGTTCAAAGTGTGTGATGGCTTAAGGCCGAACTCTCGTAAGTTCGGGTGCTGTTCAAAGTGTGTGACGGCTTAAGGCCGAGCTCTTGGGAGTTCGGGTGCTGTTCAAAGGGTGTGACGGCTTAAGGCCGAACTCTTGTGAGTTCGGGTGCTGTTCAAAGGGTGTGATGGCTTAAGGCTGAACTCTCATAAGTTCGGGTGCTGTTCGAAAGGGTAACGACTTAAGGCCGAGCTCTTGTGAGTTCGGGTGCTGTTCGAAAGGGTGACGGCTTAAGGCCGAGCTCTTGTGAGTTCTGGTGCTGTTCGAAAGAGATAGCAGCTTAAGGCTAGGCTCGTATGCCCAGGTGCTATTCAAATATGGCCACGGTCTCAACGTAAGGTAGGACCATGCTCCGACATTTGCTCGGTCTTATTTGGAGACCCGACTTTGCGACATGGGGATTCCATGGCTCGGTTCTATGTACCGAGCAGGTTATTTTGCGGTGCATTACTCCAAAGTCGGTTAGCCTTGCTTGGGCAGTTAGGCGGACATAAACCGAGCACATGGATACTGGGGCATTTGCTCGGTTTTATGTGAGTATACGATAAGATGGAGTGTCGAGGATGCCTCGCATGTGGCGACATTTGCGCGTTTGTTCGGTTTTATGTGAGTATACGATTAGATGGAGTGTCGAGGATGCCTCGCGTGTGGCGACATTTACGCGTTTGTTCGGTTTATTGTAGCTACAACCGAGTAGATGACGAGTCACGCATAGTACTGACTCGGTTTTCCATGGACCGAGCAGGGGAAGGATCCATATAGGGACATGCGGAAGGTGCTCGACTTTACTTATAAACCGAGCAGAATGATAGGCATAGTGTCTGCTCGGTTTCTCACGGACCGAGCAGGTGGAAGACCCACATGTTGAAACGCGGAAGGTGCTCGCTCGGTTTCTTATGGACCGAGCAGATGAACAATCCTTATGCCTCGCGTAAGAACCGAGCAAATGAAAAATCTTCCTATTTCGCTTAGGAACCGAGCTGTGTAATAGGCATAATGTTGGCTCGGTTTCTCATGGACCGAGCGGGTGAAAGACCCGCATATCGACACATGGAAGGTGCTCCGTTTTGGGCGCAGTACTGGCTCGGTTTCTCACAAACCGAGCATGTGAAAGACCGCATGATAACATGAGTGAGGTGCTCGGTTCCTCATAGACCGAGCAGGTGAGAGACCGCCGGTTAATATGATAAAGGTGCTCGGTTTCTCACAAGTACCGAGCGGGGTGTTGTGCCTAACGCTTGCTCGGTTTCTCGCGGACCGAGCAAGTGACGAGAAATTTAATCGGAGTCCTCAAGGGGAGGCGATATTTGGTGCTATGGTGTTGAGAACAAGTTTGAAGAAGACAATATAATAACATGTTTTGAAGAAGACATACTTATTTATAACCTGTAGCAAAATATTTCCAAATTGTATCCAAGTGGGATATAGCAATGCTTAGGTACGTGACCCAAGTCTAATATAGCCATTGGAATTTATTTGGGTCAAAGGGCAATGATCTGACATGAAGCACATTGACATGCCATGATGACTCACGTTTTTTGAGGTGCTTTTTTTAGTGGGCTAAGCTAAAGCCCGTATCATCTGCTCGGGTAGAGTTTAATCAAGCTGCTCGGATCACATCTAGATAATCTACTCGGACATATAAAAAATATATATATATATATAAAATGAAAACAACTGCTCGGTTTTGGGCTGTACGCCATCTGCTCGGTTTTTTCCATGTACACCAACTGCTCGATCTTGGGTTGTACACCATCTGCTCGGGTTTGCCGTGCACATCATCTGCTTCGGACATTATTGTTCGCGGACATCGAATTAGCCACGCCTCGCGTGGATACTCGAATATTGTTCGGTTTTGCTCGTGGGCTACGCATATAGATGCGGGATTCACGCCTTGTTTTTGTTATTAATCGAGCAGAATATTTGCGGAGTGTTGCTCGGTTTCACTTATGGACCATGCTCGGTTATCTTATTGTTTTCGGTGCTCGTTTGGCCGCGTATGCCACCGCTCGGTAGACACATAAATTTTATTATAATCAGTAATTATCAAGCGAGTCCATCGGGCTTGAAAAGCTTTGGCTCTTTTGATAATGGGGGGGCTAGATGATATGGCACATAAGTGTGAAACGGTTCGTTCACTTGGTAGACATTCGATTCCGGTTTTTATGGACAAGCCCGGTTTAGTAATGAGGCGGTCCATGGAAACCTTAGTGCTCGTTTTCTTCAAGGCCCTGCAGATTAGTTTTACTAAGTGGGGTTGCTCGGTCCATTTAGTAAATGCGGATTGGTGAAGAGTGTTTTGCTCGGCCCATGTGGCGGCGGTATAATGGGCTCGGCCTATAAAAAAAAAAGGGTAATGAAGAATTAGAGGAATGGGACGGAAGAGAGGTGAAGCGTGAGGCACAAGCTAAGCCTTCAGGTATAAATACGCAGACGAGGAATATGGTAAGGGAAGACACTCTACAAACCCTAACCCTACTTACAGTTACGTACGATTCTCTTATACTCCTCTATTCCTTGCTGACTTGAGCGTCGGAGAGTTACCGCCGGGAGCACCTCCCGGCGTCATTGCAGGTCTTCGAGAGCTTGAACCAGACGAGGAACGGAAGGGAACCGGGTTGAGGTGTGGAAGTGTTATCAACGGCCGTGTATTACACGGGTGCTTGCTAATTGGATTTTTTTTTAAAAAATTTAAAGTTAATGAGAAAAAGTAGTTAGAAATTTAAATACCTTTTTAAAAAAATATATATTATTATATATTTTAGTATGACACTCTTTTATTTGTGCGACTTACTTGTGTTATATTATAATAATTTTTTAACTTACAATATATAACTACATTAAACATAAATATATCAATTGAGAAATAATTTTATTTTTCTAATGAATTTTAAAAAATATTATTATTTTTTTATATTATAAAGATAAATATAATTTATTTATTTCATATATACAATATGGATGTCAAATCGAAGATCATCAAAAGATGATTAATTTGATATATTATATATGTAAAACCGATAAGAAATACAAAAGTTATCAACTTTTAAAATATATTTATAATTGGCAAAATTGCATATTAATACACCACCTTTCACGGTTTTGCAATTTAATCACAACCTTTACAATTTAGCAATTTAATACACAACTTTGACTATTTTTTGCAATTCGAAGCATAGGGCCGAATTTCAGGCTTTTTTGTGCTAATGTGGCAGTTTACGGCTGACGTGGCATTCAGTTTGTCAATGACATGACTTTTTTGCTGACAGAGCGTCCTGCATGTTAATTGGAATAAAAAAAATGTTGGTCAAGAGATTCAAACCTTAAACCTCGAGGTTGTATTGTAGCTCCATAACCACCACACCAATTCAATTTAGTTGACAAATTTGGTCGCGTTTTATATATATAGACATTACATGTGAATAAATAAAATTAATAAAATATATTAAATGATAATATATTAAATTTAAATAAATTAAATATATTAAATTAAATAAATCTGATTATAAAATAAATTAAATTTAAATATTAATTCAAATTATATTAAATTAAATTAATATAATATAAATTCTAATAATTAAATTATAAAAAATAAATAAAAAAATAATAAAAATATTAAAATAAAAAATTAATAAATTAAATTATAAAAAATAAATAAAAAATAAAAAAAATAAGTATAAAAATAAATAAAAATAATAATAAAAAATTAATATAAAATGTATTGTAGTTATATAATAAAATAATAAAAAAATTAATATAAAAAATAATTTTTTTATTATTTTTTTTTCTTTTTTATTATTTATTTTTTAATATCATAGAGATTCCTCTTGCATGATATTTTGTACTACAAATGTGTTTGAAGTTTGAATTTAGACAAAAAATAATAAAAAATA